GGCATCGCTACTAGGAGCAAAGGACGCTACTAGGGGCTCCTGGCATCGCTACTAGTAACAAGAAGCTACTAGTAACAAAGGGCATCGCTACTAGGAGCAAGGCTTGCCAATGATTAAAAGAAGGTGCATTGTCACTCCGTGGTCCAGACCTTCCGGTGTGACGCGGTATGGACGAATACCGGCCTTCAAACCAGCAGAATCACATTACTTCAGCTTTGGATTTGTCACTTGCCTAGGATTAACAAAGAAGAGCTCAGGCTCGCATTGTTGGGGAAGTCCAACCTCGGACCCATCTGCACACAGGATGCTTGCAAGTTGATATCATTCTGAGTTTTGAACAAGGTCGTCAAAGCCTTCCTCGGCACCCTCCTGCATAGTGAGATCAAGATTCATAAAATATACTTCAACCACCAAGTACATCTAGTAGCGATGCCACTAGGGACTCCTGGCATCGCTACTAGGAGCAAAGGACGCTACTAGGGGCTCCTGGCCGTACTACTAGGAGCAGGGACGCTACTAGGTGCTTGGTGCATCCTGCCCAATGCCTCATCGTCAACTCCCGTATTCTCCGTGAAGATTTGCTGACCATGCACGCCTCATGGCGAGACGCTCACATCAAAGCCAATCACGGCACTTTGGCATCGCCTCGTGTAAAGAGTCGCGGATTTACCTGGGCAAAACATGTCGCCATGCGTGTGACAAGTTCACAAGCTCTTCAGCGGTACGCATGGTATTCCCAGTATTCCCCCCCCACCTCTTCAGGCGTCATCGTCCGCATGATGGCTTGGTATGTGACGGTATCCTACAAAAGCAAGCATTTCCAAATTACTGGTCTTGCAGCAGTCATAACCAACATCTCAGCCAACTCTTCTGACATTTGAGAGGCTTACGGGACAGTCACCGCCAAAAACGAATCCGACACTTTTTACACCGGTAAGAACAACACCTTTCAAAGAGACTCTGTATCACTGGGCCTTGCATAAGTCAGATGGTTTGAGACCTCTTGAATTTGCCAGGCCAGGAGTGGCTTTGGCCTTAAATGCTGCTTCGAGGTATCCAGCCGTAGTAGCTCAGGTCATGGCTTTGACTGCTGTTTTCCATTGGTGTAGAACATGTTATCCTTCATGTATCATGTCACAACTCTAGCAACTAGAAGCTACTAGGTGGAGGCCATCGCTACTAGGGTGGAGGCAGTCCCTATTAGGTTGGAGGCCAATACTACTAGTAACAAGAAGCTTCTAGGGGCTCCTGGCCTTACTACTAGGACCAATGACGCCACTAGGGGCTCCTGGCATCGCTACGAGGAGCATTCTGACTACTACTAACAAGAAGCTACTAGGGGCTCCCGGCCTTACTACTAGGAGCAAGG